TAACCTTTAATATGAGAGGTTTATAGAGATTTTTTGTAGTAAAAAGGCTTATTTTCTCCCTTTTTAATTGTCTTGGCCCTCTTAAAGCTCCCATTTTCACAGTTTTTTGGAGAATTTTGCCTACCTCAATCTGATATTAAATTTTGGATAGTATAAATTCTTACCAAAGGTGATTGACTGATACAAAACACATCAGTTTTTAAAATGTAAACAAGCTCCTATTGGTCATACTTATATGTCTTGATATATTATTGATAATGTAGGAAAAAAAGTTCTAGAAAAAGTGTTCTCTTCAATCATGCATGTTTAACCTTCAGGAAATAATTATGATATCAAAATATAAGTGATAGGTAGGAAAAGAAGATCCAACTCCCATCTCTTACTAAGTTCTTCAGATAATGAAAAGGCTTTTTTGGACAAAAGCTGAGATCTTTGAGCTTCTATTCCAGTCAAGTAAATTCTTTTATAATATGGCACTGACTCCAGTAGTATTAAGTAAATCCATATATCAGCAGAAGAATAAGTTCCTCCAATATTCTTCTTGAAGTCACTTTTAAGAATAATTAAGTTTCTCAAATATCATGAAGTTTAGAGAATATCTTAATTAGGCAAACTTCTTTCAAGAGAAAACTGTGAAATAGAGCAAGAATCTTTTGGAGAGCTTTGAATTGTTTTTTTCTTTTTTTTCTAATACCAACTTCAATAATTTATTATTTTTTTAAAATAATCAATAATTATAAACTGTTAACAATGATCCTGATTAACTTAAAGACTAATGCTAAGCTACTAGGAAAGTGAGATATTGTCTTTAAAATCTGACTTAGAGTATCTAGTTTAGACTTAGTTTTATTTAGTCCAAACTAGCTTAATAAACGTATTATATTTTTTAAGCAATGTAGTCCTTTAATTAATAATATACAATGACGAATTAGTCACTTTGTGAAAGTCTATAAACTTTGTGATTTTTTCAATATCTCAATAAAGACATGCCATTGTGGTATGATTGCAGGTTAAAAAAAAAAATAATAATTTTCTATATTTTAGTAACTTAATAAAATATATAATAATAATAATATACTGTACTATAAATTAGAAAATTTTTATTCAAAATTTATTTATATTATAAAATAAAATATTATTTTCAATATCAAATTTAAAAACTATTATTATTTATAATTAGTTTTTTTAATTATAATATTATAATATACAGTATATTATACTATTCAAATAAAATTATTTATAATAAAATTTAATACAGTATATAAATTCTTAAAATTCTTGTGGTTTGTGTTACGCATCTTTTTTTTTCTTAATTAGCATAATTAGCACAAAAGTCTAAATCAGGGAATGTTTATTAGTACCAAACTGGAATTGTTCTAGCGCATAAGGGATCAGCATTGATTCTATTTTACATTGTTCCCTGGTTCGGAAAACGCCTGGAGGCTAACAGCGACGGAAATTCGACTTAGGCGGTATCTGACTTTACCACGAATGACTTTATTTCGGACTACAAAAGGGGTTCGCACGTACGGCTGCATTTCCCGACTATACAATGATAAATTTTCGATCTCTACGTGATGGATAACGCGTTGATGTACACGCATGAATAATATGTAAATATTTACACACAAAAGTACAGGTGTTCTATAGTGTCAATCAAAATCGGAAAAAACAGTTTATTGATCAAGTTTCCTACGTCACGCATGCAAGGAATTAATTTAAAAATACGCCGATTTTGGCATCTTGGAATTTTTTTGCTCATGATGTATCATGTTTAAAATTTTATTTTAAGTTCTCTTTCATAAATCAAAGATTTTAATTTTCTGAATGAACTGTTACAGGACTTTTTCGTATTGTACGAAACATAGATTAAGCTTAATTTTTTTTTTTTTTTTTTAATTCCGGGTTTTCAGAAATTGTTGGTCACATTCACCTTTTCATATATCAACACCATGCAAAAAGATTATCCTTTGGATGCACATTCATGGATAGCAATAGTATCTTTTCTTTTGGTAATATTCTTTGTGATATTTCCCATTAGTGTTCCTATCCCATTCTCTAAAAGGTTTCCTGTGATTCCACTTATTCATCCCATCCGAACTCGACCGATCAAAATCCCATTTAATTTAGCAACTGCGCCATTTTACGCCATAGTTGTTTTGTTGGCATGCAGATGCATAGAGTTCAGAGTGGTCATTGATGGTTTCGTGGGAAGCGAGGGAATTCAACCGTACAGCATTATGATCTTATTTTATTCATTGGTATGTATTTCAGTAAGAAAAGATATATGATCATGTGATAACTAATTAACACCAAGGTGGAAATTTCAAATGAAGGCTTATATATGCATCTCGTTAGACTTGACGGGGTTTGTGGAATTCTGTGCATATTGGTTTTCGAACAAAAGTGGGAGGGATGGAAAAAAACTGTTCACCTACTTCTTCATTCTATTCAATCTGATGAGCGCGTTTACGAGTAATGATGTGGTGGTGCTTACAGGGACAAGTAGGTTGTTTAAAAACATTTTGGATAGATTAGATTCGACCGATGAAGTCATTCATCCCTTTGCTATTATAAATTGGTTCTTTGCTAGTTTTCTTGGTATATTATTCTCGCTTGGCAAATATCAGACCACCAACGGCATTCCTGATTTCTGAATTCATGGCTGCTAATATTGGTAATTCAAAAATATCTCGAAAGCTATTTTTGTTAAACCTCTGCGTCATTTCTGATAATTTCTTCCACAATAAATATAGCATCAATGACGCTTTACATTGGAAACCCGACGAATGTTATCGTTGCTCAAGCGTATAACATCTCATTCGTAAAGTATAGCGCGTGGATGCTTGGACCGACCATTGTTTCAATCATTCTCGCTTATATCTTCCTGAGAATTGTCTTTAGAAACCCAAAATTTATCCCGCAAAAAGTGGACCCGCCAAAACACGACCCCAAAAATGTATTAAAAGACAAAAGGGGTGCGCTATTTGGTGTTATTCTACTATCATGTTGTTTGATCACATTGATGGCTACTTCGTTCACAAGCATTAGAGTTTGGGTAGTGACATTGCCCTTTGCCGTGGTGTCCTTTTCAAAAGACCTTGTTCATGATTTGTTGATTAAAAAGAAATTCAGATCAAGCACGGACGAAATACATAAGCAAAAAAATAAGGAAGAAAGTAGTCAAGACACGGTTTTGGAAAATGTCGAAAGTAAAGAGGACGAGGACGAGGACGAGGACGTGGAAATTGTTAAAGGTAGAGAGGACACGGTTGC